GGGGTCTGCTCTGCAGGGGGGGGGGTGCCAGAGCGAGGGGGGGGGGTCCGCTCTGCAGTGGGGGGGGGCTGCAGGGGATCGCTCTGCAGGGGGCCTACTCTGCAGGGGAGGGGGCATGGAGGGGGGGGGTCGCCCTCCTCCTCCTCCTCCTCCTCCTCCTCCTCCTCCCTCCGCCTCGAGTTTGCTTGGATGCATGTGTAATGTGGTGGCACCTTTTCTAGCCGTTTTGCCGACTCCTCTCCCCTCTCCTCCTCCTCCTCCTCCTCTCCTTCCTCCTCCCTCCTCCTCCTCCTTCTCCGCCCCCCCTCCTCCTCCTCCTCTCCTCCTCCGAGGGGGGGGGGGGTCTGCTCTGCAGGGGGTGGGGGGGGGCTGCAGGGGGGGATCCGCTCTGCAGGGGGGGGAGCTGGGCTGCAGGAGGGGGAGGGGGGGGCGCTCTGCAGGGGGGTGGGTCCGCTCTGGAGGGGGGGGGGTGCGAATCACTGAATTAGGTCAGCAATAGGTCGGAAATAGGTCGGAAATGAGGTCCCCCCCCCCTCCGCAGAGCGAAGCTTGAGCGAGCTCAAGCCCACGCTCTCAGAAACTCACACGCCGGATCGGCGGATTTCCCCAGATGGTCACGGCGCCTCTTTCTTATGCACTACGTCCCTGGCCACCCCTGGGCCACGCACGTGCCCGCCGGCCATGAGTTGCCCCCCCCCCCCCCCCCCCCCCCCCCCTTTTGGACCCCCCCCGCTCGGCCGCGCCCGACCCGAGGAGCACTTTGGGTTCGTGGAGGGCCCCGGTTCTCGGGCCGCTCCCCGCAGTCGGGGCCCTGAAGAAGGAGCGCTCTTCGTTGGGGAGGGGCTCGGTGCTCTTGGATTGTTTTTTGCAGTTTGCCTCGGGCTCCCCTTGGGCTTTTGCATGGGAGATCGAAGTTGAGCTTATGGAAAAGAGGGGCCTCGTCCCTTATTTACTCCAGATGTCGTAATAAAAGGGAGGGGGTCTGGACCCTCCAAGACAAGCCATTTCAGGCCCCCCCCGTGGGAGAACCCTCCAAAACATCGTCCCCAGACCCCCCCAGGCCCTCCAAGATAGCCTGGAAGAGACCCCCCCCGAAATGAGACCCCCCTCCCTTTATCACGAAATTTGGAGTAGGGTTCCTTAGGGCAACGCCCCGACTGCAGATCTGGGTCGGGGGGCCTCGTCGTGGCCGAGGCTCGCCGCGGCCGGAAGGGCCCCCCCTCTGTTCCTCGGCCACGCCGCCGGGCGCCCTCCCCAGTGCGCTCTGGCGCCTCCAGCGCTCTGGACGCCCGAAATGGGCACGGAAAGAATGGGTACGATGCCCAACAGCAGTTCCTGTTCATTCTGTCCGCGCCGCCGCGGCCTGTGTCCATTTGAGACAGAAGGCCGCCTGCCCAACAGCGGCCGCCGTTGGTTCGGGACATCATTTGCTGTTGGGCATTGTGCCCATTGTTTCCGTGCCCATTTCGGGCGTCCAAAAGCGCGGGGCGAGAGGCGCCCGGCAAGCCAGAGCTTCGCTGGCCCGAAGTCGGGCGTGCCCCTCGACGGGAGAAGAATAGTCAAAGATGGTCCAGAAATCGTCTGGGGAGGATGTTTTGCGACCAGGTTGGACTGTTCGTGAGGTTTTGTAGTTCGGAAAAAGGGAGAGTCTTTCGAAATCCGCCGCCTGTAGGAGGACATGCCCGACCTAATCGCTAAGCAAAGTTAGGGGGGGATGGGCTCAGAGAGGGGGGGGCGCATGGACCCCCAATCGCCCATCAACCGCCGATGGGGGGATGCATCGACCCCCAGTCGCCCATTGATCGCCGACAGGGCCCGATATGGCCCGCCCCGCCCGGGAGCGGGTTCGCTATCGGGAGCCTTCCGCCGATCTATCGGCGATGCATCGCCGATTCCAGGCCGATGTTTCTCCCCATGGGCCAGTCCACCCCGGACGTTCCCCGTCGGTTTTGGCTCCATCGGACCGGCGCCCCCTACAGTCAACCCGCATAAGAAGGATGGGCAACCCTCCCAAGGGCACCCCTGCATCCGTGCCTCCTCGGTCCATCCTCGGCCACCTTCGTTGGCCGCGCCCCGCTCGAAGAGCTTCGAAATGGGCGTATTCAAAGCCCTTGCGTCCTTATCGCGCATCCTTACTATACGGGTTGATTGTCTTGGGCGACGAGATCCAAGAGCGCCCTCGAGGGCGCGAAGTTATTCGCGCTTCGTGGTTCGGCTCCTCTTCCTCCTCTTCCTCCCCTGGGAGGCGGCGCGAGAGTGCGAAGCTATTCGCACTTCGCGCTTCGCGCTTCGCGCAGCGCGAAGCGCGAAGCTGGGAGCCCTTGAGATCTGTACGCATCCACCGCCCCCGGCCAGGCCCGGCCTGCTCCCGGGAGCAGTTGCGTGCGCCTCCCTGGCTGTAAACCAAGGGGGGGCGGGGGTGCAGGCATTGCTCCCAGGCGCGGAAGGCCTGGCGTCGCTCGGACGTGTGCAGTGTTTTTGTTGCGAGGCTCGTCGAGGGGCATCTCTGATCGCCTCGCGACGAAAAGGCACGCGCGATCCGGAAGAGTGCACGGGGCACGGGCGTCCGAGCGATGGCCAGGAGGGGCCTGGCCAGGGGGCGCCGAGGGAGGGCGCAGCGGCAGGGCAAGCGCTCCATGACGTCTCGGCCACCGCGTGCCGAGCCCGCGGAGACCGCGCTGCACGGCCAGCGCGTGCAGAGGGATCTCGTTGCCCGATGCCATCGTAGCCCAGGATAATTAGGGGGCACGAGGGGATCAGCGAGTCTTTTTCCTCTCGGCGCCCCCAGAGGTTTTGCAGCCTGGGGACCGGGCGTGAGATCCGCTCGGCTCCGCGCTGCAAAGGGCTTGTGCCAAAATGTGGTGGTACCGGAGCTGACTACACTTGAGCAGCAAGAGCATCCCACCACCTACCCACCTACACCAACCTCCACACCATTAACTCGTCGGACCGGGTCCCCCTGGCCTGCAGGCGCAGCGCCACCCTGGCGGCGGCCCGCGCGCCGCCGCCGTCGTCGTCGCCGTCGCTGGACGTCGTCGTCGCTGTCGCTCGTCGTCGTCGTCGTCGTCGTCGTCGTCGTCGCTCGCCGTCGTCGCCGTCGCCCACGACCTCGACGACGACCACGACGACGACGCCGACCTTGACGACGGCGACGCCCACGACCTCGGCGACGACGACGACGACGACGACGACGACGACGACGACGACGACGACGACGACGGCGGCGGCGACGACGGCGGCGGCGGCGGCGGCGGCGGCGACGACGGCGGCGACGACGACGACGACGACGACGACGGCCCAGCATCGGCTTCCTGGACCTGTCCAGCAACGACATCGGGTCGGACGGCGCCAACACCGTGTGCCGGGCCGCCTTGCGGTGCGCCCACCGCCGGTTGCGCCCCCTGGCATGGTCGCGCGGTGG